GCTTTATCGTGAGTACTCGAGCACTAATTTTGAAGTTCCTTATCTCAAAAGATGCCCTGTGCGCGATCCCCAACTCGAAAGGCAGAATAAAAATGGCAAGCGAAGAGGGGAAGCAAGAAATCGAAGACAGAGCAGGAAGTTTAGCTGAAATCGCTAAATAGGGTTAGGGGCCTTTTTTCCTTCTTTCACTTTGGAAATTAGTCATCAGCCTTTAGTCTTTTTCGTAATCTTCTGGCACATCTTAGCTATGCTTACATTACACATTTCATTACATTCATTTTTTTTGAGAACGTTCTGTCTTCAAGGCTATGCTTACATATTTCTGTGCCTCCGCCGACGTTTACGGCGCAAAAGCGAAGGATGAGCCTAGAAGAGCAGTGTGTGCTACAAGACCTTCTGCCTGTCAAGATCCGGTGGACAAAACTCTTCGTGGGACAGGACCTTCTTGGAAAGTCCTACCGAGACGATCGACGCGGCCTTAGTCGCGATCAGGACAAGACCAAGTAATAAGGCTTAGTATAATAAATTCATCCATAAACCAGTATAATAAATTCATCCATAAACCCTTGTTCCTTCAGAAAGCGTGGCCAGTGACTTCGAACAGTCACTGAAAGGCGAGCGAGAACAGGGGCATAAGTTCCAAGAAGGCGCTCAAGAACCACCACACCCCACTCATGAAATTGTTGCTAAAATTTGCACAAAAGAAGCAGGGTCGCTAGACCGACATCGATTTCTAAACAACTTGTAGTTTGTTGAAAAAGACTCTGCGCACTGTAGAATTTTTTATAGTTCATCATTCTTCTCAAGTACAGCTAACAAGTAAGGAATACATGTCCACCTATTATCTTTAGCACACTGTATTTTAGCAGGTATGCCATTTATTTGAAAATTCTGAGGTTTTGAGACAAATAATCCAAAGAAGTCTTTTGAGTAGGTCCGCATAATCGAGCTACCCCATTTCTAGTTGAAAAAAAAGCATCGGAGGCTTATAAAGCTTGTCTTCGTCAAGTTTGCATACCACGCCAGGCGGGTTAGAGCGGCCCACAAATGGCTTGGAGACTTTTGCACCGTTTTCGTGTTTATGGACGAGCGTCGCTGAGACAATGTATACATTTTCATTTATTCCGGGCACGATGTCAGGGAGCTTTTCCTACGTTATTGCTCACCAATACGGTGGAGTACGGTGGAGTGTAGCTTCACTAACACTCGTAGTTGCTTCCCAGATTGAGGCGCTGGAATCGTCCTCGGGATTGCTTCCGCATGTGGTCTATGTGAAGGACCCATTTCTTATAACCTATAACAATGTGTTGGGTCAAAGAGTGAGAAGAGGTAAATCAAAACTTCGCGCAGAATTTATCCACCCTCAAAACTAGTTACATCCTACCTAATAATCGCCGAATACCTTCTCGCCATATTTTGTTCTAATTAGGTCAAAGAGGTGCTATGGGGCTCCGGTAACACTGGTAGTGCTTTGCTAGTTTTTGTACAATGCACTTCGGAGTTTCTCCTCATAGTTCCATGATACATCGTCACTCAACGCAACACTCTCGCGACATTCGCGGTATAAATAATCTGAAGAGAGTGTCGGCCATTCACATATGTA